TCTAACCGGTCAGCTACATTCTGGGTTGTATCCTCCTCCACCCTGGCAAAGGCACTTTAGTGCTGGTGAAAAGTGCAGTGTTGGGAGCCCCTTGGAGACCACAGCTCTTTGTTTATGTGCAGAACAGATAGAGCACAATGAAAACGCCTCCCCTACCACACTGCCTACATGCCCTGACTCTGACCTGGAAGGGTGACCTCCATGCTGCATTCAGTCCTTGCCTCCTATGCTGACATCCCCACCCAGGGTGGGCCAATTGCAGCCTGGGTGCTGTCGGAACTGGACTGAGACCTGCCAGTTCATTTCACACAGGCCACCAGCTGACATGGACTGAGCTCGAGCCAGAAATCTCCATGGGCCATTTCCAGTCTCGGGACCCATCTCCTCCCCATTTCCTTTCCCCGTTTGAAGGCTGCTCTCAGTTCCCCCTGAGGCCTGGGGAGCGTTTTGGATATGAGGTGGCAGAAACAGAGGGCTGAAGAAGGTGGAATAGTCTGAATTTGCCATTCAGGGAGTATTGCTGGATTGCATCCGTCTGCTTGGAATCGATGGGCCAGAGCCACAGCTGATGTAAATCAGCAGCTCCACTGAGTCAATGAGGCTATGCTGAGCCCTGAGGGGCTTCCACTATAAAACACACGTGTTCTTTCCTTGTCATGCGGTACCACACCTGTTGGCAATGAGTTATTGGGGTGAACTGACGAACCCTTTCTGCCCCAGAAACCCCTGTGCCAGCACTGGGCCAACCGCACTGGAGGGCTAATCTTGCCCAGGCTGCCCATCCGAGTGCTGGGGCTCTCCCGCTCTGCATCTTCCATCACATCCCTCCCCACCTCCATGCTGAGAGCTCCCAGTGGGGTATGACTATATATACAGCCAGCCCATTTACAGCCCCTGGGTGTCAGTGAGGCGGGGCTGGAGACTGGGTCTGCCCCACTCATGGCCTTGGATTAACTGAGGGTTTTACAGTTAATCCAATTGGGTTTATCTCCTGACATCATTCGACAGGTCGCTCCTGGGGACTGAAAAAAGACACTGGTTTGCCTGAGAGTGCCAGGGCCGAAAAGCAGAACTAAGGAGGGGAGAAGGACGAGAGAGAGACACCTCTGGAATGGGAAGATCTCAGATACCAAGGTAATGAGAGGAAGCAGAAGGAAAAGAAAGTCCCCAAAGGGTGAGGAATGCAAGAGGCTTGTTAAGTGAATGCTGCAGAATTAAACGGACTCCAAGGCAGCAAGGCCTGCTCAGAGGGACCACACAGGAGCGGAACACGGTGCCTGTAAGATTGACCTAGGGGGATACTCACCTGGCAGGCCTGCTGAGGAATTCAGACTCACCTGAAGCTCCCTCATCCCCTCTTTTTACAACTGTGACACACCAAGGGGGCCAGCTCCTCAGCTGTGTAAATCAGCATCGTTCCACTGACTTCAGTGGAGTTCTACCAATTGACACCAGCTGAGGAGCGGGCCCTCTCTGTTTAATTCATAGGGGGCAGGCTGGAAAGAGCCTCTAGTTAGATATAACTACGTAGAAAGCTTCTTACATTAGGAAAAGTTGTCCCCAGGGAACCCTCGTTGCCTTCAGGGAGCTTTCCTGGGGTACCCAAGAGCAGAATGTGCTCCACCGTCTCGGAGTTATTTGGGGATAGGCTGGTGTTGACAGGGCTTTAAGGGGGGGGGTCTCAGAGAATTGCCTGGTTCATCACTGACAGAGGCTACATTTCTCAGGCTGATCGGAGAAGGGCTGGGGGTGGCTGTGCTGCTTGGGGTCCAAAGCAGAGGAGGGAGCAAGGGGGACAGCTGAAAAGCAGGGCGGTGAAAGTCATGTCTGAGTCAGTCTGGCTCTGCTTTCATGAGGTGTTACTGTGGGGCAGTTCTCGGGTCTGTGCGATCCAGCGGGTCAGACTAACTGATCACAATGGTCCCGGGATGAATGTGCCAGCCCAGCTGACTGCCTATTGTATCATAGAATCTCAGGGTTGGAAGGGACCTCAGGAGGTCATCTAGTCCAACCCCCTGCTCAAAGCAGGACCAATCCCCAGACAGATTTTTACCCCAGTTCCCTAAATGGCCCCCTCAAGGATTGAACTCACAACCCTGGGTTTAGCAGGCCAATGCTCAAAACCACTGAGCTATCCCTCCCCCTGTATGGGTTCTGGGGTAGCTCCTCAGCTGGTGGGACTCAGCATAGCTCCATTATTTCAGCAGATCTGGGCCAAGTTATACAAGTTGAAGATCTGACCCTAGCTAGCAAAGATATTTCTCAGGCATCTACCAGCCTGGTATCTAAGCCCAGATATTGACTAGGGATGGACCCAGAATAGTGATGAAGCTCAGTCCAATATGAAGAATAATAATTCCTAGCTTTTTATAGCACCTTTCATTCATAGATCTCAAAGCACTCTACAAAGAAGGTCAATGTCATTTACAGATGGGGAAACTGAGGCTCAGAGAGGTGAAATGACTTGTCCAGGGTCACCCAGCAGGCCAATGGCAGAGCCAGGGAGAGAACCCAGGTCTCCCGAGTCCCAGTCTAGCAGTCTACCCTGCCCAGTGAAGCTGATGCCTGATTGGCAATAGTAGCACTACCCAACCCAAGAGCTCTACAGTCTGACAGCAAACCCAGCTAGACCCACAGGATTAACTTCCAACCGGAAATGGACCCATAGCCATGCCCCTGCATCTCCAGCGTGTATCATGGTACGGTTGCAAGTAGCATCAGACCCTGACAAGAACAGGGATGGTCCCTGCTGGGCTCTGTAAGCCCATTGGAAGCACTGCTCAGACTTGGCTGCATCGCTCCTCCCAGCACAGAGAGCAGGGACTGAGCACCCCCCACCCCCAACCACCACATCAAAGCTCTGGATTCTTTTGACTGGGTCTACAGCCCTGGGCAAGGCACCCCACTCTGAGCCTTGCTGCTAGTGTTACTGGGGCTCCCTCCCCACATCCCTCCTCTCCATCTTTTCCTCCCTCCCCTCCAGTTCTCCATCCTCATCCTTCTCCTCCATCCATCTCCCCACATCCCTCCCTTCCATCCCCATGCCTCCCCTTTATCCATCCCCTCCATCCCTGCCCTCCATCCCCAGGCCTTCCTTCTATCCATCCATCCATCCCCATCCCGCCTCCATCTCTCCCTTCCCATCCCTCTCCTCCTTCCCCATCTCTCCCCTCCATCCATCACCTCCATCCCACTCCCCATCCCTCCTTCCCATCCACCCACTCTATCCATCTGTCTATCTAGCTACGGTCCATTGAGCCGCTGGGGGTTTGATGGGCCCAGCACTGGAAATTCAGGATGCACTAAATCAGATCGGGGGTGGGGGGACTAGGGATGGAGGAGGAACGAGGCTGGGAGAGTGAGAGCGAGAAGCAGGAGCGGACACTTAGCTATGCTGGGAGAATCCCCTTGTGTTTACAGCCCACTGCACCTGGGCCCGGTTGCCACAGCAACAAGACCACGCAACTTTCAGCGCACAGAGCCGACCCCTCAGGCAGCCCGATCCCCAGTGACAGTCGGACACCCCCACCCCCTGGCTCTTCAGCTCTGCATGGCGGCTCCGGGGAGGGCGGTTGCAAGGCCCAGGCTCTGCAAGGCCGCAAGGCAGGGCACGGCGCCTGACGTCCTCCTTGGAACAACAGCTGTTTCTGTCTCCCCTTGGCCCGGGCCTGCACCTGCCAGTTCAGGGCTGTTCAGAAATACCAACTGCTCTCTCCAGCACAGCCTGTCCCTGTTCTCACCGGCCACCGGCTCCGGCCGGGTCTGTGGTCAGCGCTCCATGTGGCTGGCCGTGTGGGGCTGCGCACCCTGCGGAGGTGGGACGAGCTGCTGGGCTGGAGCTGATCTGCAACGATCCCTTTGACTGAGCTAATGAGGCCCAGGAGAGACCCCACACAGCCCACTTAGGCACAGGATGGCTACCATGCCCATGGGCCGAGGAGTTAGGGAGTAGTTCCGAAGGGGAGAGGTTTCCTCTGCCCAGACCGGGGCTGCGTATGTTACTGGGAAGTAGGACATGCAGGAGAGAGGAACTTGATGGTGCCAGGGTGACTTCCACTAGGTCAATCTCTTGTCAATGCCAGGACTGCCCACCACACCCAGCTCTTCCCTTCCCTTCCCACCCTGGTGCCAGCCACCCTCACCCTCCTCTTGCTGGTCTGTTACTGGTTCCATGTGGAAAGCCATCCCATGAATTCATCCTGGCTTTCCGCACTGGAAGTAGAGGAGGTGTGTCGCACCATGTGTGGGCCCCCGGGGAGCTGCGTGGAGCTAGTCAGGAATGTCAGGCTCTCTGACAATGAACACACCCAAAGAACAACGGAGAGCCCCCTCCAGGAAATACCAAGTGACACAGGCCCCTCTTTGGACAGGATGGAAGCCTGGAAAAGGGTGACACGTGATCATATAGAACAGTGTCTGCACAAGTCCGCAGTGATGGACATGGACCTGCTCTCTCAATATATTTGATCTATAAGGTCCCCCGGCACAGAATCCCAATGGCTGGGTTACCCCCAGGGCAGGGCTAGATGCCATTGGTGGAGCAGAGGAGGGTTATCAAGATTGACAGAATATGAAAATTGAATCCGACCAGAGAGGGGAGTTCCTTCCATGCCAGGGTTGGACTCCGCTAGCCAAGCAGCATAGCGGACACCAGGCAGCTGGTTCTCCTCTCACTTACACTGGCTTGACCCCATTGTTACGCCACTGACTTCAGTGAAGTCACTCCTGATTTACCCTGGCGTAAGAGAGAAGAGAATCAGTCCCATGTTTGAAAGAACAGAAACTGAATTCCATCTACTCAGGAGGGTGCGTCTGCTCTAGGTGAGAGCTGAGGGTGCCAGACTACATAAACATGCAGGCCATATAACACCATAGGCATAATGGCTGAGGGGCACTGGACCATTTTAACAGCCCTATAATGTGACCTGGCTCCACATCTGCCCTTCAGTAGCTACCCCCACCTCCTCGCCACTGAAGCCACAAGAGGTATGGATCCTTACCCTGGTGGGATGGAGGCCCTGGTACTCAGTACTGCAACCCGCTGCGTGCCAGGCCTGTTCAGGTTGTTCTGCCCAGGAAGCTGGGTGCCAGTGGGAGCGCTCTGGCTTCGGGAGAAGGTGGTCACTTGCATGCCGCTAGGGGACCGGACCTGCTCCATCTTAGCTGTCCCCCCAGTTGGCATGGTGCCCGCAGACCACAATGCTGTGCCGTTGAAAGTGTTGCTCTGCCTAACAGCCAGAGTCCCATTGCTGTTGCCCACATACACCTTCCTCCGCTGCGAGGCCAAGATGGCATTGGAGGCTGCCCTGGTGCTATTGACCAGCAGGCACTGCTGGCAGGAACACGGCTGCCCGGAGTTGGTGCCCACAGGCCAGGACTGGGACTTGGGGATGGAGCCCATGGTGAGCGGGTACGCCAGGTCCATGCGGCGCCGGAGTCGGCGCTTCCGCTGCGTCTGCCGGTTCATCTGCGACATGCTATTGAAGTAGATCAGGTAGCAGAAGCCCAGAGAGGAGAGGTCCAGCCACGGGTGCTGCTTCTCATAGGCATTCTGGATGGTGATGCAAATATCCATGTCGTAGGGAGTCCAGGAATTGTTGTCGTTCTCCCACTCCCACACGATCCCCTTCCCAGGGGCCGAGGAGGGGTCATAGAAGTTCCTCCTCACTGGACGCATGGTCCCTGGGGGAAAGAAGAACACAGAAAAGGGATGCTGAGCTTCCTCTGCATGGGTCAGACCCACTAGCTCATGTGAGGGACGGAGCCCTCCGAGGGGAGCCTGGCCAAGCCAGGTCAGCCTGGGAGACCTCTCCAGGTGAGATGGGATTTCACACACTGGGATGGTCCTTCAAGCCGTGGCTTTCCTAACACTTGAGCAGAGCTTGTTCCCAGCTATCACCCTGGCCTTTTTACACCCATCAGGGCCAGAGCCTCAGCTGGTGTAAATCAGCACTGATTTCAATGCAGCAATGCCAATTTACTAGGGTTACCAGATTTTAATACAACAAAAAGAGGACACTCCACAGGGCCCTGGCCCTGCCCCAACTCCGCCCCTTCCCCAAAGTCCCCGCCCCAACTCCGCCCCCTCCCCTGCTTCCCGCTAATCAAATGTTCGCGGGAAGCCTGAAACAGGCAGGCAGGCAGCAGGTAAGCTGGGGCGGAGGGGGGGGGGGGGCGCAAGGAGGCACGGCCCAGTCCGGCCCCCCTGGCCGAGCGGCTCCCTCCGGTGGCCGGCCCCGGCCAAGAGGCTCTGGCCCCGGCGTCTCCGGCTCGGCTCGGCCCCTGGGGCGCCGGCCCCGGTTCCGGCCGAGCACGCCGGCCCCGGCCGAGCGGCTCCGGCCCGCCCCGGCCCCGGCGGCTCTGGCCCTAGCGACTCCAGCTCGGCTCGGGCACCGGGGCACTGGCCCCGGCCCCGGCCGAGCAGCTCCGGCCCCGGCCCTGGCTGAGCGGCGCCGGCCGGCGGCCAAGCACCCCCAGCCCCGGTCCCAGTGGCTCCGGCTCCGGCCCCAGCGGCTCCAGCCCAGACCCAAGCCCCACGACCCCTCCCTATTTTCCCGGACATGTCCGGCTTTTTGGAATTTCCTCCCGGACGTGGATTTGAGGACCAAAAAGCCGGACATGTCCGGGAAAATCCGGATGTATGGTAAGCCTAAATTTACACCCGCTGAGATTCTGGCCCTCTAGAATTATTGGAAGCAAAACCCACTTATATTATTACAAACAGCTCTACTCTGAGCCCAATTCGCCTCTCGCCCCGGGGTAGGCACTGGGGTTACCCTGGCTTTACTCCAGTGTGAGGGAGAGGAGAATTAGAGTCACTGAACCCGCTTTGCTTCAAAATATGGGGCTGAGTAGCCACTACCTTCCAAGCTGATGCCAGGTAATTCCGCTGGAACCCACAGAGTTGCGCTGGAGTAACAGAGCGGCAAGTCAGCCCCCATTATTTAGCGCCTGGGCATCAAGGTCAGCACAGGGAGGGGAAGAACACGGTTCCCCCACTCCAGTGGGGCTCAGCCCTGACCTGGAGGGCCCACCCATGGAACAGGTAGGGGGTTCAGTCTCAATAAGCCATTCAGTGCTTGGTTCAGCCGCCAACCAGGAGCCAGGTACTGTTAACTAGTGACAGTGGGTTTTGTGGGTTCAATACCTGAGCCCTAGGAAATGGTCTGAATAAACTCATTCCACACAAGCTATGGAACACCAGCACTTGGACTCAGCTAGAGTTGGTGATCTACCTGTGAAAGGTTCCATTTCCCCGCTACCAACCGCACAAGCCACAGAAGGCCCCCACATATTGCATAAGCCATTGGCCATGGAGCCGGGGGTGGGAACAGCACTGGGGCCACAGCCCGACCACTTTTTGGCTGGGCCAAACCTGAGCATTGCTGTGACCCCAGGAGTCAGGTTCCAACACGATCAAAAAATGTACACTTTGTTTCCTGTCTGAATGTGTCTCACTTCAACTTCCAGCCATGGGACCATGTTAGACCATTCTCTGCTAGAGTGGAGAGCCCATTAGTAAATACTGGTTTCCCATGTAGCTACTTATAGACTGTGATCAAGTCACCCCTGAACCGTCTCTTTGGGTACGTCTACACTGCAATAAAAGACCCGTGGCATGGCCACAACTGGCCCAGGTCAGCTTACTTGGGCTTGGGGGGCTCCGGCTGCAGGGCTAAAAATTGTCGTGTAGACGTTTGGGCTCGGTCTGGAGCCCAGCCTCTGAGACCCCGTGAGTGGGGAGGGTCTCAGAGCCCAGGCTTTTTACTGACCCTTCTCCAATTTATCAACATCTGCCTTGAACTGTGGGCACCAGAACTGGACACAGGATTCCAGCAGTGGTCACACCAGTGCCAAATACCGAGATAAAATAACCTCTCTGCTCCTACTTGAGATGCCCTTGTTTATACATTCCAGGACTGCGTGGGTCTTTTGGTCCCAGTGTCGCACCCGGAGTTCACATTCAGCTGATTATCCACCACGACCCCCAAATCTGTTTTAGAGTCACTGCGCCCCAGGACAGAGTCCCCCACCAAGTAACTACAGCCGACATTCTTTGCTCCTAGGTGTATACATTTACACAGAGCCATATTAAAAGACATACTGTTTGCTTGCACCATTTACCAAGAAATCCGGAACGCTCTGAATCAGTGACCTGTCCTCTTCATTATTTTCCGCTCCCTCAATTTTTGTGTCATCTGCAAACTTTATCAGCTGATTTTTGTGTTTTCTTCCAAATAACTGATAAAAATGTTAAAAAGCAAAGGCCAAGAACTGAGCCCTGTGGGACTCCACTGGAAACAAACCTGCTTGATGACGACTCCCCGTTTACAATCACCCTTACCGTTAACACAGGGGACAGTGGAAACACCTTTAACCACAGAATCTTTGTTGGCCTGGCCTGGCCTGGCCTAGCAGAACTTAACACCCTTCCCAGAGTGCAGTTTGTGGGCAGCAGCAAAGGATTCTAGGGAAGCAGGAAAGTGAGCAAGAAAGAGATGGGGAGGAGAGAGTGGCTTTTGGGATACAGGGAATAGAAGCTAGCACCAAGCTCTAGGTTGCCGGGCCAGCCTTTCCTGACAGTGAGGAAATGCTATTCCAGCTCCCCAGAATATCAATTCTGCAGGCGTCTCTACTGGGAGCTGTGCAGATTTCACCTTCAGAGCCCCTTCGGGATGAGAGTGAACTCTCAAGGGCCGGGCTTTCTGGGAAAGGACAGTATTAGGGAACGGTCGCCTCAGCGCACCTGAGACTCTGGGCTTACACCTGTGCTGCCGCTCACGCTGCCACGTCGCCATTGCTATTTTTAGCTGAGCTAGCTAGATTAGAGCTAGCGCGGGTGTGTCAGCCCCGGCTGCCATCACGCCTTCGCCCGCAGTGTAGACAGACTACATGGTGCCCTGAATCCCCTTTGGCAGGATACCAATGGCTGTCACTTGGCTTCATTGGAAACCCAAGTGAGCTGCTGTGAACACAGGAATCTGGTGACTGGATTAATATCAAGGCCTTGTCTACACTGGGGTTTCAGCCACTGGCATAGCTGGACCTGTGCCAATCCTCATGTAGGCACGCTGCACCAGCACAGCATGATTCGAATTGGAGCAGGCTGCCCCATCTTCAACCATGTCTACACTAGCTGGTTGTACCAATGCAGCTCCACCTGTGGCTGAAATCCCTGGGCAGATGTGGCCTTAAGTGAAAGGAAATCAGCCAGATCAAAAGAATATATGGACACAAATCTGACATCAGGAATCATAACATTCAAAAACCAGTAGGAGAACACTTCAACCTCTCTGGTCACTCAGTAACAGACTTAAAGGTGGCAATTTTGCACCAGAAAAGCTTCAAAAACAGACTCCAACAAGAAACTGCTGAACTGGAATTAATTTGCAAACCAGATACCATTAACCTGGGCTTGAATAGAGATTGGGAGTGGCTGGGTCATTACACAAATTGAATCTATTTCCCCATGTTAAGTATCCTCACACCTTCTTGTCAACTGTCCGAAATGGGCCATCTTTATTATCACTACAAACGTTTTTTTTCTCCTGCTGATAATAGCTCATCTTAATTAATTAGCCTCTTAGAGTTGGTATGGCAACTTCCACCTTTTCATGTTCTCTGTATGTGTATATATATCTTCTTACTATATGTTCCATTCTGTGCATCTGATGAAGTGGGCTGTAGCCCACAAAAGCTTATGCTCAAATAAATTTGTTAGTCTCTAAGGTGCCACAAGGACTCCTGTTCTTTTAGCCAGATCAATGTTTCTAGCACCCTTACTACTCTACCCTGCACCCACATTTTCTGGTCTCCTTCTCTCCCCCTATCCCCATCTTCAAAGGAGACTGAAAGAGAGAGAGAGATTATGGAAAATGAGAGCAAGAGCTAACCGGCTGCTCTGTCTCCATAGGACGACACGGGAGGGAGCAGTGATGGATGCAGAGGGCAGGATGTGGAGGCTGGCAGTGAAAAGCTGCTGCCCTCCTCCCTGCAATGCAGCTCATTTGGCTGTGGCACGGCTGGTACAAAAGGGTCCCAGAGCTCTGCAGCTGCTCCAGGTGAGCGCCAGCACATTCTGCAGGTTCCCATGCAGCAGGCCACAGTGTGCCCCAAGTTGTTGGGGAGTTACAATGAGCACGGTTCAGGGCACTGGGAGTCTCGGGTGGGGGGCTGGATTGTTTCGTTAGAGAGGAGATTGTGTGGCTCATTGGCTGGAGAGGAAGACGAGTCTTTCGACGTGAACTGAAGAGACAGCTTAGGAGGAGAGTTCAGGTTCCTCTAACAATCCTTGGCCAGGTGGTCTCAGCATAGACCAGCCTGAACCAAACCCCAGATCCAAAGAGGCCCCAGGTTTGGGGAGAGTTGAGACCTAACTGAGGACACAGATCTGAAGGCTGCACCAGTCCTTGGTCCCTTCTCTAGTTATAAAGCACTTACCACACTGTGAATGATCAGAGTGCTCTGCTAGCTGGAATTTCCTAGCCCCAGCCCTCCTTTTCCAGGTGGGGTGCACCACGCGCCTTGTTTGGGGTGCTCCACTCTTTGGCACAGAGAGGGGTAACGAGAAACAGACGTCCATTCGGATAGAATTATTGATGCTATTGAACTGGCCAGCTTGGAATGGGCCTCTTTGAAGGGGCTGAGAGGGGTGGAGAACTGGGATTGCCAGAGGTTATTCC